CACGTGCTCTGATTAGAGCCTAAGGGTAACTATCTTCAGCTCTCTATTCTTTACCCCCATGCTATGTTATTAGACGCACATGAGTGTTTTGTAATGTTTATAGATGTGCGTGAATATTTTTGACCTATACCTACTAATTTCCAAGTTTGAATTGACTATGTCCCCATGTTTATACACAGGCGTGTTTTGCTGAAAGTCCACTTGTTTGCAGAGGATTACTTCCCTGCAGATTAAAATTGTTCTTGGACAGACATTAAGAGGCAACATTGCCTCTTAGGGTCTCCTGGTGTGCAGTAGAGAGAGCCAGAGAAGAGAAACCTGCATGAAATAAATCCTTGACAACTCCAGGGTGAGCCCTTTGCTATGGAGTTTGTCAGTATACATGTTTGAAATAATATTACTCATCTCTAAAGTGCTTTTTGGATTTCAAACTACAGAGTCTCTAGTTCAGATTGGGTTTAGAAATTATCTCAACTTATTGGTTATTTAATATTTAATTCCAAAGTTAAAGCCTTGTTTCCTTTTTCACTAACCTACAATCCTGCAATTCACTTTAATTTTGGGAAATCTACAGTTTGAAAATATCTTAACTTCTTATTTTGCCATCTAAGATTTCTACAGACCTACCTGGAATTAACCTCAGTCCATTTTTAAGACTTTTGATTATGGACCAGTTCTTTATTTTGCTTCTATTTTTAAGCCTTAAATTTGATGTGGTTTTCTCCTACTTGGAAAGAAAAAAAAAATGTGCCATTTAAAATAAAAACCTAGGAATGTTTAAAGAAATAGTACATAAATGATATAGTGCAAAATGGTTAGTATTTTAAAAAAGGTAACACTTTGGGGAGAATACAGAAAGAGAAAAAGGCAACCTCAGCTTTGTAAAAGTGAATGTTTTCCTGTTATAGAAACTGGCACAGATGTCTCTCACAAGAACAGGGAGAGCTGCAGGGGCTTAGATCAAAGGCAGCCAGAAGCAATACCCCCTGTGAAACATGATTGTATCTGCTTTCATAAACAAGAAGACACTGAGACTGGATGTCACTGCCTTGATTAATTTTCACATAGGGCACATGCAAACAGGGAAGTCTGATGCTCTGATTTTCCTAATTAACTCAGATGATTCATAGTAGGGTAATGGCTCAGATGACCGCTCTTCCATCACCCAGATGGACAAGAACTTGCTTTCTGAGAAATGATCAGACAATTAAGATGCAAGACAGTCTCCGAAGAAACCTGGTTTTCAAAGCACTATGCTTCTAATGCTAGGGCTTTTACTTGAATGAATGCTAGCCCTGTTCTAGCTCTACACAAAGGGAAGTAGGCAAATTGAAATGTTTACATTCAGTCTTTCCAAGGTACAAATAGAAATATTGCTACTTAAATAATTTTCATTTAATGATTCATAGACAATTATCAACAACTTGAATGAATGTTACTGGAATCTGAGAAACAGGCGATAGCCTTCATTTGCCCTTATCCTTTCTTTGAAGACATGAAGGACTAAATGGGTTTGGAAAAAGGGGCAGAATCTGGGCATCAGGTACCATCTCCACATTTTTATTAGACCAGTAGAAGTTCTATCTACCAGTCTCTTGAATACCAGATTTGGCTCAAAGGAACTAATGCCTTAAGTTCACCTATCCCTTTTATAGGAGTTCAGCGTGCAGAGATCCCTTTTTGTACCTTCACAGCCACACATTTGTTGGGAATAAAAAGGGCCAGGCTTTGACATTTTCCAGCTTGTTATCTATTTAATTTTCCATCTGCTTCTTTTGCCACTGCCTTCCAAAGGGACATCTGCTGTGTAGCTGAGAAAAGGAAAGGAAGATTGGAGCTATGCCACCTGGGTCTGCAGATCTAAACCTCAGGATCAAGAATAAGGGAAGGGAAGAAGACTTATAAATGGTCCAGAAATAGAAATGAGGACAAACAGTCTGTTAAGAGCAAGGCTGTGTAATCCACCATTGCGGGGGGAGAGGGGCATAACTTGGCAACCCAGCCAGCAGCACCCCCATGGGCAGGATGCAGGGTGGCAGCTGGTGACTGCTGAGGGCCCAGAGCAGTTCCCAAAGAGCAGACACTCCAACTGGAGCCGCAGACTCCAGATGCTCCCTGTTCCTCACGTGCTCTTAAAGCATTTATGGGACAGCTGCTATGACGAGTCAGCCTTTATTCTGGATATTCTGGAAGCAGATGATTAAGACATATTCCCACCTTTAATAGCTGGTCTACAGTGGGAAAGATAGATAAGTAACCAACAGATTACAATATGAAACAAAAAATTCTTTACCCTGAGTAGGGATCAACAGTAGGGCACTACAGGATCAACACAGAAGGGAAAGGAGACAGTGCTGTGAGCTGAGTCTGTGCAGAGACAGTGCTGTGAGCTGAGTCTGGGAGGATAAAAAACATTAGAAAACAGACTTATTTCTCTACCATTGCAGGGCAGCGCAGAACAACAAACCTTCATGATTGACTCAAAAAAACTTAATACTCCAAAGCCTTAAACCCACCACCATCCTTCAATACCAAGGCACCAACATTTCTGTCAAATGTAGCAGAAATGGATTTGGGTTTGTCATCTCTCAGTGTAATCTGAAGAGTAAGCATAGTAAACTCTCATTAAAGTGGTGAGTCGCAACTATAAATCAGAGACATTCTGCAGGGGAGGAGGCGGGAGAGGGCTCAAAGTGAAAGGGAAGAGCACAAGGGACTATGGCGAAGGTGCACAGGTGAACTGGTGGTGGGAGTTCTGTGGGGACTACACCTGAGAAAAGAAAGCAAACATTGTAAAAAAGTGAAAAATTATGTAAAATACATATAAGTAATTTTTTTTTAAAAGTAGTACGAGTCTCAGCAGAACAATTTCTTAATTTACCATGATAGAGTAGCCAGTGGTCTGATTTTTAACCCTGTTTAAAAATCTGTCTAACTCTAAGATCACCAGACTCTCTAGATATAAGACCACAATGCAGATACAGTAAATTCTGAGCATTACCTGCAAACAAGCATGGAATGAGTGTCTGCTCAGGACACGATGAGACAAACAAATAGAAGGCATGACCTTTGTGTCTAAGAAGTGAAAATCAAATTGCAATGACTGAAGTGTTTAAATTGGATAACTAAAAAAAATCCTGGCTATAATTCTGACATAACAAATATTTAACATTTCAATAAGAAAAGAATAAGGCCAATGTGCTACTGCATTGCTCAGAAAATGTATGTTCCCTTCAGTTTTCCATATGTCTACAGCAAACCTACCCTTTTCTGTAGATTAGTTGTAGTATACATTGAGGTGGAAATATAATGGGCATAATAGGTGATTACACATTAGATCTCATTTCAATATTTTTTTTAAATTATGCTTCAGCAAAACAAAAAGGATTATGGAAAGTCAAGCGTACCTTTTTTCTGTTATCAAATTTTCTTTTTCTCTCAAAGGAAGTATAATTTAATTTTTAGAAGTACATTGAGAAATAATTTTGAAGCTTTTGTTGTGACTAAATAGTAAGCTACTTAATCAAATTATATGTAGAGCTTGAATAAACTCACCAAAATATTTATGGTTATTATGAGCAGGAAGTGTTCTGGTTTATGTTTACTTTCCTAGGTGGGATTTAAAGGCAAATATTTTTCATTTTTGAATATGAATAATATTACTAAATATGGTAGATAAGAAAATGTTCCATCTGCAAAGAATAGATTTAAAAAGTGACCAATAACAAACCACTTATGACAAATTAGTAAAGACATAAGTTTTCTATGGTGTTAGGTTGTTCTGCTAATACAAGAAAATTTCCGAATCTGTATTAAGGGGCCACAAGTTCAATATTTCCTAATTTAGATTTGCTAGGAGCACAGAATATTTTTGAGTTGTAATGGATGCCAGAGTACATAGGCTGATTTGTTAAGTGAAAAAGTTGAGACACAGAACAGTGGAATAAATAAATCTTGTTTGCTCTTTATTTGCAACTATGCCCTAAGATTCCCAGCACTCATTTCTCCTGGCATTATCCAGTTACCATCACTCCTTTCAGCTCTGTATTTTGATTTTTTTTTTAATGGAAAAAAAGTGTTTTGTTTTGGAAAGGAGCCAAATAAATCTTGTGATTGGCTGAACTTACTTCTACTTACCAAGGTTCTTGAAAATCAGGGTTAATGGCAGGTGCCCTAACCTGAAAGAGTGGATCTGGCACCATTTCACCCTGTGCCAACTTAGTTTTCTTATCTTTCTCAGTTTGCCCCAAGTCTCTAGAGAGCTAGAGAAGCAGGTGGCACCACCCACAATCTGCCATCTATTGATAACTAGACTAAATTTGGGAAGTATCACTGTTATGTTTGTGATCATTATCTTGTAGACCTGGGGCCATTTGAGTGAATGGCTCTCACAGAGCTAATATGTTATTCTAGAAGTCAGAGCAAACTAGCTCAGATGAAGTTACTGAGAGAGGTACATGCGCAGATTTTGTTAACTGTTTTAATATTTGCAGTCTAACATTTTCTGAATTTTGAGATAACCGCATAATTTTCTTTGACTTCAGTATAATACAGATCAGGCATAATAAATACATCAAGAGAGAACAAAGCCAATTGCTGAAACGTGACTGCATTTATGGTAATAGAGAAAACACGATAACATGGTCATCATTTAAATGATATACAGAACAAACTCTGAGTTAGTAACATTCTTTTCCAGATAATATACTTTTTCCTTTTCTACAGATGTCTATTCGATATTCTGTTGGGTTTTGTTCTTTTTCCTAATCATGAGGTAGACGCAATGGGAAATGAGATTATTCTACAGTTTCTGCAGCTCTTTTATTCCATTTCTGCTGGTGGCTAGAGCTCTGCCCCAAATTCAGGCTCTGACATGTCGTCTTTCCTCTGTCTCTCCTTTTCAAAGATTAAACTGAGATTTATGGCTACATGGGGGGATAAGCATCCCTGGTTATTTTTTCCTACCATACTTCAAATTGCATTCATTTTGTCATCCTTAGGACTACCAAGAGGCGTCCAACTTGGAACAATTTGTGACTCGGTTTTTATTGAAGGAGACCTTGAATCAGCTGCAGTCGCTCCAGAATTCTCTGGAATGTGCCATGGAAACTACTGAGGAGCAAACCCGTCAAGAAAGGCAAGTCAAACACTTTCATATGATGTCACTTTAGTGACTCTATGGAAGATCAGTTGAAGGGCATCAGACTTAAAGTAGTGAAAACTAAAAAGGAGCATTAATGGATTTAAACAGAATGACAGAGACCACCCCTGAATGCTTGCCTTATATTTGCCGCTTAAAAATGGCAATTCAACTTTTACTGTCCATCTTTTATACATCAAAAATTAATTGAAATTTTAGTAGATAAAGAAGACTTTAAAAGACACTGTTTATAATGTCCCAATCTTTAAGGTGGTTAAAGTCAGTGACACAGGTAAGATATGAACACTAAAACTATAATGCAAGATACAAAATAAGTGCCATAGAGAAAAGGAAATAAATTGCCAAGGTATTTCAGAAGACTGAAAGAGCAAATATCAATAATACAACTTCATGGAGTTTCCTTATGACATTTGAATTCGTCTTGCAAATGGGTATTAATGATGGGAACAAGCCTTACAGCCTAAGTGAACTTGGGTATCCTAAGGGACTTGAGAATTCAATGAGTCTACTTTTTTAAGGAAATAGAGAAAAGTGAATGATGGAAAAAGAGTTCAAGATTCAGAACCACTAATATCACTGAGATGATGGGTAGCCAGGTTATATTAGTTATGTAAATAAAGACATGAATGCTAAAGAGAAACCTGAATTAGAAATGTGTAAAGCGGACATTAAAATAATTCAACCAACAGTTGGTTCTGTCTTGAGTTACTCTGTTTATACCTTACAAACCAGAGAATGGTTTGCCAAAAACTCTTGCTTATGCAACATATTTCTGCATGTGTTACTTTAAACCTATAGATATGTCTTATCTAACTTTTGCATTTTAAATTAGGGTTGAGTCACATAGTACGTTTTTTGAATAGGCTGATAATAGACTACTCTGTAGGGCCAGATTTTCTCAACAAATTAATGGATACATAATTATTAGGACATCTCAGAAAAATGGTGGAATTTTCAACCATGTGTTTACTGTGTCAAAATGAGTGATCGCCACCCAACTCCAACAAAAAAGCCTGTAATCTCAGATCTCATGGACTTGCACAGTCGATGAGCATGGGTGTACTCTCTTCAGTGGATCTGTGTGGAATTTTTATCTTATAAACTTCCTTTTTACATTGCGATTCCATATCAAATGGCAAAGTAAAACAATAAGTTTATGGAAAAAACAGCCTGGCTCCTCAGGTTGCAGCAGAGGATAACTGGATGTCTTAAAGCACAATGAAATTGATTTCATGTTCCTAGTGAGAGAATGAGGCTGTTTTTGTTGTTCTTTTGTTTAGATTTTCTTGACCAAAAAAACCCAGATTCTTTCTTTTTTAGCATCAATCATTTACCACCTGAGACAAGGCTTGGAAAAGCCCTCTACTCCCTTTCTTCACCCACTCTTTGGGTTTTTCTATAGTTACCTCCTACAAACTTGGATTCTGCACTCATCACCATTTAGTGAGTGTGTAATAAAAATTGTTTTTTTTTCATGTGTCTCTGGTAGGCCACAGGCTAGTCTTGAACTCATGTGACTGTTGCCAACAGCTGCACAGCAGCTGTGTTTAATGAGAAGCTTAATGCAGAGTTTAAGGAAAATAGAAGACATTAGAGGACTAATGAGTCTTTTATTTCTAGCTCAAAAACAGCCTGGAAGAATGGGAGATTTCAAAGGCCCAGTATTAGTCTGGGGAATACTATACTATTATGTGGTATTTAAGGCTCCCAGGGATGGCTAAATCTCACCTTAAATTCCATGATAATACACAGTATTTTCTGTGAGAAAGAAAGGCGTCTAGAAAAAATGCATACACCCAAGCAAACAGAAAACAAATTTCCATTATGGGTTTGCATGTACAATGTCCAAAGAGAAGGCTAATAAGCCTGACAGAAGCCTGTGAATTAGGCCCAGCTTGAAAGGACTGTCTTCCTGTAAGCTGGTCACCAGAAACCAAAGTGAGCAAAAGCCCGTGGCCCCTTACTAGTTTAGGAAAAACACAGAAGAAAGATGGTCCCATGATATCATACAGGAGATCAGTGAAGAAATCTCATGTGGAGTCAAGACTCAAACTGGACCTTTATGGGCATTTAATAGTATTGCAGAAAGACACTCTTCACGAAGCGATGGGGCTTATCATTATCCCCTATTACCTAGCTTCTCCCATCTGGCAAATTCCTCTGTTTGCTCACATCTGGACAGCACTTTCTCTGGGAAGACTTAACAGCTTTCAAAGTAGGTTTTTCTACCTCCCATTTTAGCCTCATGTGCTCTCCTAGCACCTTCTGCTTCTACTTCCCTTGTTTTTCTCCCTCATTAGACTGAGTGTCTAGATGGCAGTATCTTCACCTTTTTCCCCCCACTGGGTACAACTATATGTTAAATATATGAAACTGAATCAAAGGGAAGTTCCGGTAAAGAAAGCCGTATAGAGAGGTTGTGGTTGAAGACCCGGGATTGTGAGGAGACTGGCCCTACTGCCGTGTGAGGTTAGGGAAAGTCTTGTAAGACTGATGCATTTAGACCTAATTTGATCAGAGATTGTCAATGGTGGTTATAAATAGGGGGAAATATTATGAAAATGAGGTTAAGGGAAATTAGTCTTCCGGCGGTATGTGGTATTAATCTGGGGAAGAGAACTAGCTCAAGAGAGGAAAAGGCAAATCAGTGTATCCAAGAAGTCACCTGTGTGAATTTGTCATAAAGGAAGATTCCAATGTGCCCTGCAGAGACAAAATTTATAACCCACAGATATCGTTAAAAACCCCAGGTTGTAATAATTTGCTCCTCTTCAGAATCAGTACCACTTTGCAGTTTAATATTTGTGAATCCTAGGGATACAAAGATTTCTTGGAATATATCAAATTCGGAGAAGTCATCTACTGTAGCTCCCCACCCCAGGGAGGAATAACACTGTATCATTCATCCCACAGTAATGAGTTAGACATGCCACGTTGGGCAAAATGTCTGTGTCTTTTCATGTGAAAATGGCAATTTCAGAAAGAAGGGCTGCATACAGCTAGAACACCACAGAGGTGAGGTTTCCAGATGACATTCTATAACACTCTGAATCTGCCCTGGAAAACTATTCTAAATGGGGACCAACTTAATCCCATGTCTTTTACAGTACCTAATAGCCAATGATAGGAATAATCATTACATTATGTGGAAGTTTCTCTCTAGAGGACCCCTGTCCTCTTACATAAACCTCTCTTCCTTTACAAACTAGCTTTCTGGAAACAGTTTAATTATATATGAATTTCTTTTTTTATGCTTGAATCTACAAGCTTGCTCTATTTTTCCAAAGAACTTCTTTATCCAAAAATGACCAATTTCTTCTGTGCCAGAAAATTATTTTTCTTCTTTTCATAGTTGTTTAGTCTAGAAGTTAAAAAAAAAAAAAGTTCAATTTCACTGACATCTAATTTTAAATGTTCGGTTTACATTTCCTTACCTTAAACATAGAAAAGGGCTGCTCTACCCACCAACTCCTGTGACGATCAAACTGCTAGAAAGTTCTTTTTGAATGCCTAGGAGAATCCACAGGAAGGGCTAGCAAAAGATTGGTACATAAACACAAGTGATTTATTTTGCTCCCTCCTTAAATTCATTTTAAAAAAGTATTAAAAGTGCTTGAACTAAAAACAATCAGAAACCCACCAACAAAAAACAAAGAAGAGCCAAAAAGCTAGAAACATGGAATATGAAGAAGATAAGTCTGTCGCACCATTTCTTCTGTGATCAGAGGCACACAAGAAAAAGTAGATGGCAGAGATTCAAGCAACAGATCTACAACTCATGCAAAGACCAAAGGAGGAAGAGTATGTCTCAGACTCACTTTCCGAGAAGGCACTAACAGCCAAGAGGCAAGAACTCAAGGACAGTGAAACCAGTGAGTTAAGTGACTCCTAAGACAGTATTACTTGTCTTCCTCTGTGTTAAGATTTTTTAAACTCATGACATTCGCAGCAAAGTGGATGGAGCTAGAAGGAATTATGCTCAGCAAAATAAGCCAGAAGGAAAAAGAAAAATATCGGATGTTTCACTTATAACAGGAATGTAGGGGAACCAAATAAGACATCAGTGTAAAAAAATAATAACAGTACAAAACACAACAAAGCAAAAACAGACAATTATAAACCAGAGACATCCTGCAGGGGAGGAGGAGGGAGAGGGATGAGAGGGAGGGAGGGAGGAGCACAGGGGACTGTGGTGATGGTGCACGGGTGCCTTGGGGAAGGAAATTCTATGGGGACTCAACCAGAGGAGGTTGGGGGAAGCAAATATTGTCTAAAAAAACAAAAAAATCGATAAATGTTAAAATAAAATTTAAAAAATAAAGTTTTTTTGTCATTTCTTTTCCAAAGTTGAGTCATTTAAAATTTTTTAAGATCAAATAATTTTTTGTGTACAGCTGAATGAGTTATTTTACATTTGTATACATCTATACCATTACAATCAAAGCAAGGTGATTTGACTAACAATATATAAATGATTCCCAGCACTCTGTGAACACAGTGTAAAATTTTCTGAGACACACAACCCCCCCACTCTCCATCTTGGCCCAGGTCTGGCAGAAAGAGTGCAAAGTCATCTTCATAGACTTAAAATGTGAATCAGGCTCCATCCTGTCATGTGTGCAGGGATCTGCTGCCTGACCCTGATGGTAAAGTCAGTCTTTTCACACCCACTGAGGACCAAGATCTAGACAAAGAATATTTAACAAAGGGTACCCAAACTTTGCATCTCTGCAGGAAGTGCACTCCTCAGGAAGGGAGAAGTTCAATCCTAAATTGCCCTCTTTTAGCATCAGCATAGCCCCAGGAAATAACTTAGAACTGGAACCCTCTCCTATCAAGAATTACATTCTTGGGCATCCCTGGTGGCACAAGGGGTTAATTCTCAGTACTCTGAAGCTGTTCACAGCCACTGCAGCACCAATTCCATCCCCAGACAGGGAGCTGACCCACATCTGACCCATGTGGCGCACAGCAGACCTCCTTCTGTCTTGCCCGCTGCTCCCCTCAGCAGTGTATTTCAGTAGATCCACCCATTCTGATCCCCACTCTGTCTCTGGTGAATCCTTTCCCCCCTACCCCACACACACCTCTGGCCTACACCCCAGATCTTATATGCAAAAATAAGTAAATCTTTTTAAAAATTATATTTTTCGTCTTAATGACTCACCATTCCTACTTTTAATAAACTAAATTCAGACTGGCATTTATTGGAACAGCTCTGAGAGTAAAATCTGTTGGACTGCCTCCCAGGCTCAAATCCTCACTAATTACCTAATAAACCTTAACTATCATTGAGACTTTCAGTTAACAACGCCAAAGACACTATTATACAACTCCCTATCAAAAGCCAACCCCAGAAGTATCCACTTCATAAGCCACTGGCAAGTCAATTTGCCTGTTCTTAGTGTTCATCTAATGTAAATATACAATGAAAAAATTAGAATCAAAATTGAAAGGAAAAAAATCACCTTAGATGCTCTGAAACTGAACACAAAGAAGCAAATGTGTGTACACACACATTTACATACATATATATAATTTTTAAAAGTTCATTCACTACACTAGAAAATCTTTGTGACTGACACTTGATCTGTTCACTGAGGCAAGGGACTGCAGCTCTGACATTGAGGTTCAGCGTTATCTCTGTTGTTTCAGACAAGGGCCAACCAAACCAGAAGTCCTGTCGATTCAATGGCCTGGAAAGAGAACAAGTCGCCGAGTCCAGAGACACAATAGCTTCTCCCCAAACAGCCCTCAGTTCACCGTCAGCGGTCCAGGTAAACACAGTTGTCTTTTTCTCTTCAAAACTGAATCTTTGTATTTTCACATTGGGTTTTTTTATATAAATAAGAAGGCATTTAAAGGGCTTCCCCTGGTGGCGCAGCAGTTGAGCGCTGGGCTGTGAAGCTGCCCGCAGCCTCTGCAGCGCCGGTTCGATCCTTGGCTGCTCCGCGGCCACCAGGGAAGGGTCCCACATGGCGCGCAGACCTCTCCTGCCACCCGCTGCTCCCCTCAGCAGTGTACTTCAGTCCTTCTGCCTGCTCTGCTCCCCGCTCTGGCTCTGGTGAATTCTGTCACCCTCCCGCGCTTCTGACTGTACCCAGTGCTTGTATAAATAAATAAATTAAAAATTTAAAAAGAAAAAAAAGGCATTTAAAGCAAAAATATTAATGGACACTCATCATTTCGAACAAAATTTGTCTGAAATCAAAGTGGCTGAGGGTCCAAGGTTTTAAAAGCTGGGATGATGATTCTCACCATCAGTTCTGTCCAAACACCAGCAGGTGTGCCCATGCAGTGCACAGAGGTGGTGGAGAGGGCAGGAAGGGACTCATCCCCACCTGAGACCCATAGAAATCCCCATAATCCTCAAGCAGAAAAGGAACCCATTAGTCTTTCCCCTACGAGGCACTAGATCCCCACACCTACTGAAGAGATTAAATGCATCTTAGGAAAAGAAACTTTACTTCCTTTCATGATAGTAATGAAGTCATAGCTGATATTTTTCAAGTGTTAGAAGATTTATTGGACTAAAAACCTTCATAGTAATTCTTAGGCTATTACATTTCACAGTGCTATTTATAATAATTACATTATAGTCATGTTGAAATATGCAAAGTCATGGTGTGAAATGGTAATTTTTGTAAAGCATCAACATATATGTTTGTGTATATATGTGTAAATGTGTGTGTATATATATCACTTGAACATGTTTTAACACAAGTGAGGCTTTATATAGCTAGCATTTCAGAAAAAGTACTGACTATGCCTATATTTATACAGCATGTGCTTTAAAGATTTCAAGTTTTTTCTTAAATACTGTCCTATTGATGGATGTCACTATCACCATTTCTCAGAAAGCAGAGTAATTTGTCCAAGTTCATACAGGTTATTGGTCCATTTTCTGCTGTGAAACAAACAACCTCAAAGTATCAGTGATTGCAGTAGCAAGTATTTGGGGTTTTGTTTCATTAATTTATGGTTAAATTTTTTTTAAGATTTATTTATTTATGCATGCAAGAGCTGGGGTACAGGCCAGAGGAGGGTGTGTGTGTGTGGGCGGGGGGAGATGAGAGGATTCACCAGAGACAGCATGGGGAACAGAACAGGCAGACTGAAATACACTGCTGAGGGGAGCAGTGGGCGAGTCAGGAGAGGTCTGCTGCGCCATTCGGGCTGCTCCCTGGCCGGCCAAGAGATTGAACTCGTGCTGCAGAGGTTGCGGACAGTCTCATGATTGCATCTTAACCCCTTGCACCACCGGGAGGCCCAATTTATGGTTAACTCTGATGTATCTCAGTTATCTATGGCTCTAGGCTATTGGTTGGGTTCTGCTCTACCTCTTGTGTAACCCTGGTGGAAGTCAGAAACACCAACTACAGGTCAGGAATGCAGCATTTTTTTTTTTTTTAAGATTTATTTAATTTATTTATACAAGCACTGGGTACAGTCAGAAGCGCAGGAGGGTGAGAGAATTTTCCAGAGCCAGAGCAGGTTGCAGAGCAGGCAGAAGGACTGAAGTACACTGCTGAGGGGAACAGCGGGCGGCAGGAGAGGTCTGCGCGCCATGTGGGACCCTCGCCCGGCGGCCAGTGATCGAACCGGCGCTGCAGAGGCTGCGGGCAGCTTCACAACCCAGCGCTCAACTGCTGCACCACCGGAGAGGCCCAGCATTTATGTTTTTTTAAAGATTTATTTATGCATACAAGAACTGGGGTATAGGCTAGAGATGTGGGGGAATGAGAGGATTCACTAAAGACCAAGTGGGGAGTAAAACAAGCGGATCTATTGAGCCATATGTGGGTCAGCTCCCTGGCAGGGAATCAAACTCAAGCCACAATGGCTGGCAATAGCTTGATAGTGCTATCTTTAACCCCTGTGCCACCAGGGAGGTCCCAAGGTGTGCAGCATTTAAAACCACTTATACCATTGTGTGTTTCAAGGGTTGGTTTTAAAGTCTGTCTTTGATCCTTGTTTGGTTTTTCTATATTCTACATATGTGACACCGTCCAGTAAATATCTTTCTCCTCTGGCTTAATTCATGTAGTAGAATCCCTTGAAAATTGACCATTGATCTTTGGCTTTCAGAGGGGCAGGGGAGGAGAGGGATAAAGACAGGGATGTGGCTGGAGAGTGCAAGGGACAGTGGTGGAGAATGCTGGGTGCTTTGGTGGAGGGAGGGCTACAGTGACCAGACTTGAAGGGGGAGGGAAGCCTGGACTGTCAAAACACTAGCAAGAATGTAAAATAATGATACTTCGGTTACAATAAAAATAAATGATACAAAAGGAAAAAAATAAAACTAGTGCCTTTCTCTGCTCTCATGAGCCACACGCCAGCAGTGACAGGAGGGCAATGTCCTGGGCTCCTGTGGTAGGAGGCACTTCCCCGGAACAGGCAAAAGGTGTTTACATGTAAGCCTACAGCAAAAAGATAGGGAAGAATTGGAAACAATAATCAACTGTGTGTGACTAGAAAATGACAATATCTAGTCAAAATACAGGTTGTTCTTTCCACTTGAACTGTTGCAGAAATAAATTCTAGCCTTTTACCCAGGCAGGGGAAGAACAAGCGGTACTTCAGGAACGGTGAGGCCAGGAAAGCTTTGTTACTCATGCATGAGGTCCCAGACCTGGGTAGCCCCGGTAAGGTCTGAGCACCTGTCTAGAGACAAAGAGTTTCTTTCATACACAACCACTTTACATTGATAATGTTGGTTAGTTAGCATACAAATTCTTGACACAGGAAAAGGGGAAGGACACAGATCTTTCAGGATGGCCTGCTGCCAGACCTTGTTTAGATATGCTTTTTTTTTTTTAAAGATTTGTTTTATATTTATTTACACAAGCACTGGGTACAGTCAGAAGCGCGGGAGGGTGAGAGAATTCACCAGAGCGGGGAGCAGAACAGGCAGAAGGACCGAAGTACACTGCTGAGGGGAGCAGCGGGCGGCAGGAGAGGTCTGCGCACCATGTGGGACCCTCCTCTGGTGGCAGGGATTGAACCAGGGCTGCAGAGGCTGCGGGCAGCTTTTCAACTCAGTGTTTAACCACTGCGCCACCTGGGAGGCCCTAGATATGCTTATTAAGGACGCAAACTTATTATTTACTTTACATTTCCAGGTCTGTGACTCTTTAACAGGGAAAGATTTCTTTTTCTTAGCAGTACCCTTTCAGAACCATTTAGAAAACAGTCCGCTAAAGGACTTTGACATGACAGCCACCTTGAATTCTTTTAGGAGCAACCCAGAATGGAAATGTGCTAATGAATTTGTGAATTAAAATATAGACATAGGGCCTCCCCTGGTGGCTCAGGCGGTTGAGTGCTGTGAGCTGTCCACAGCCTCTGCAGCACCGGTTCAATCCTGGCCGCCCAGTGAGAATCCCACATGGTGAAGCAGACCCTTCCTGTCTCGCCTGCTGCTCCCCTCAGCAGTGTATTTCAGTCTGCCTGTTCTGTTCCCCGCTCTGTCTCTGGTGAATCCTCTTACCCTCCTGCGCATCTGGCCTGTACCCTGGTCTTGTATAAATAAAAATAACTCTTTAAAAATAAATATAGACATAAAGTTTGTTTTTACATTTGTAAGATCTTGCTTTTACATTCAGAGTATTTTCTAAATTTTGTAGCCACTGCTTGGTCTTACCACTAATTTTTGCATCATTTATTTGGTGGGCTTGGAGAAGTGCTTCCCCCAAGAAGGCAGGAAGAGAAGTTAATTCTTACCACTCCTTTATAATTTAGGACTCGTCTCCTTATTGTTCAAAGCTAAAGCGAGGGCTTATTGTCTTGAATTCAGTCATCTCCTCCTGTCAAGAATTCTTAAATAATTGTACTTCAGCAATGTCTGAGAAAGCATTTGAGCAAGTAGCAGTGAGGATATGTAAGGACGTAGGGATGTTGGTGCAGGAGCTCAGGCCTCAGCTCTTCCATTTGCACTTTGTATAATACTTGTCACAACAATGACAAGAGACAGAGCTTACATAATGTTCAGCCTGGTGCTGGATACAGATGTGAGGGGCTGTGTGTACCTGTGCATGCCCATGCTCTATCTATGTGTACGGCCATGTGTGTCCACCTACATGCATGTGCATACACATATAGACACACATGTATACTCACAAGCATATACTTACATATATACTTAACATGTACATACATATATATACACTAATCCTCACAGTGACTATGAGAGTGGTCATATTATTATTCTCATTTTAAAAATAAGAAAAGTCCAATTCCAGAGGAGTCAGGTAATTTGACCAAGATCAGCATGCCCCAGTCTGCTCTCTTACCCATTATGTCTTTTTTTTTTTTTAATTAATAAATTTTATTTTTATATTCCCCATACAATTGCAATCCCCCCATTCTGACCCCAATCCCTCCCCTCCTGCCCCCCACCACCCAAAAAGTGTCTCTGGTTCATAGTTTTTGTTGATTTTGATTTTCACTTTCTTATAGTTATTCATTTTCCTGGTCCCTTATTTAAGTTTTCTAGATCCCTGCTATGAGTGAGACCATCCGGTATTTTTCTTTTTCTTTTTGGCTTATTTCTTGACTACAGTGGCCATGGATCCTCAGGTTAGTTCCTCGAGGAGGAGACACTGGCTACATTTTTCTTCTTTTGTTTGGTTGTAACAATTTATATCTTGCTGCGGTCAGGCCTGTGCTTTCCCTGGCTCCGGCCACTGCCCCAGAAATAAGTTTACAATGATTAATTGATGCTTTCCTTTTTTGAAAAGAAAAATCAACTGCCTCATGGGGTGGTAAAAATGGCTCAGCAGGACCTGTTCTTTCATATCAAAGTTTAGTACAGGCAACATTACATTACATTACAAAACAAACTTGTGAAAATAAACCCCCTGGGATGTGTGGATCTATGGAAATCTTTATTTTAGCATTCTTGTGAATATCTCCGAGGTTTCTTTTCTTTCTTTCTTTTTTTTTTTTAATGTGTGGCTAGTCAGTGACACTGCATTCTTCCTTCAGGGGAAAAGGAAAGTGCTAAGATATCTAAGCCTTTCTGTCCCGTTTAACATATTGCCCTCCTTGTTCTCTCCTCAAGGTTTGCTAGAAGACGACAACCAGTGGATGACTCAGATAAACAGACTCCAAAAATTAATTGACAAACTGGAAAAGAAGGTGGGTACTGCCTTTTCTTTCTTCTTCAAACCTCCTAGTGGTTCTGAGCCTTTATTCCTCATTGCCCCAATAATTAAGGTTGCCCCACAGTTAGGGTATCAGCTCAACCACAGTGATGCTTCATATGGCAGATTGTTAGTTAATTGGATTTGTTTCTGTCATTAAAGAAAATATAGAAACTCACATTAATCCCCATCCCTAGTTATATCCAAAATAGAATGCGGTAATGGTGTGCTTGAAGATCCAGAAGGCAGATCTTAGGGATGACCTGCCTGAAGTCTGAAGAATGTTTCAAAGGGATTCAGGGAAATAGCTGTGTGAGATAACATACTCAACTTTTAGAAATCAGCATATTAATCTGTGATTTTGGGCATTAAAGTTACCCAGTTTGTATCTATAGAATAAGACTTGGAAGCCTGGGGGTTGGTGAGGGGCATAGAGCAAGGTGGGGAGGTGCCCCAATGGACTGAAAGTATTTTTAACAATTGTTACCTCAATAAAAAATAATACAAATTTTTAAAAATTAGCAAAATCATCACCCAGTTAGCAACCAAGTTAGGTTGTGTTGAAGAGTTCATCAGAACTATGTTTTGTATTTTCAGGGTTTTTTGTTTTATTTTGGTATTTTATTAATACAGTTGATATTCCCCTTAAATGAAAGAGGCAGCATCTGTACAAATGTATTTTCTGTGCATGTCAGACACTAAGGAAGGAACATTTGTGTCTGGGACACAGTTACTAATCCACAGTCCTTTAAAATAAGCTATAGTTTAAAAAACAAATTAACAGGGTTTTTTAAAAATATGTGGCAACACAAAACCACGTTCACAGTTAATGCTCAGTAAATACTTGCTGATGGACTAAAATGGGCCAAAGATAGTGGAGCAGATGCTGACCTGAGGGACTGATCACATTGAATTGGTGTGATTAGAAAGAAACTCATATGTTAGGAAGGTAGAGTAAATTAGGTTTTAAAAAGAATGACAGGAATTTTGATCACAAGGAGCCAAAACCATCCCTTTAATCAGAAAGGTTTTCTTTCTCAAAGGAAGTAAGAGTACTCACAGAATCAGTAAACAGTCTAGAGATGCGGATTCAGCAGAAGTCAGGAGGCAAAATAACTCTCACAAGAAATATTCAACTGTCTCTTGGCTTACCTCCACTCGAACAAATGAATTCCAAACATGTCCACCTTGACATTCTGCTCAAGATTCTGATTCCCAAGGGGAATAATCTGATCTTGTTAGAGTCACATATGGTCTTTTGGTTAGGGGCTGGAAGAGCAACTTGATTTTTATCATCTGGGACTCTGATACCATCCCATAGTGCTATACTGAAAAGTAAAGAGATAATTCACTGAAAGGAAAATGTGTTGTCATTAAAGTTTGAAAAAATATTAGTCAGCTAGCAATTTGTTTTGGAAAAAGTTACGGTGAACAGAACTGCTGGAGAGAGTTTAGGTAAGTGATAGAATAAACTGGGTTTAAGTAGACCACTATGGTTAGTTTTTTGTTTGGAGAAATTGTGACAAATGAGATTGTATGGCTGAATGGGGCCATGCCATGGTGGCATTAACAGACTAAGGGATTTAGACTTGGCCTTGGAGACAATAGGAGGCATTTATTATTTTTCAACAGATAAGTGACGTAACTAATAAGATTCTTTAGATAAAAAAAAGCAAGAATATAAAATCAATTCAAACAAGAAAATTCAGAACCAGAGCTACCTCAGTCTGTTCAAACAGTGGCATTAAAGCCCAGACTGTAGACCTGAGCCCACCTGGATCACGTGTATCAAGAGATGGACCTGGACTAAGTGACTGAAAAGAAAATGACAGATTTAATAACTTGAGGTGAAGTTAATAGGATCATCATATGGGTGTGGTGGGCAAAGGACTGGAGGATCTCAAATACGGGTTTGAGGGTATGAATTTGAGCTTCTGAGACAGTGATACCGTTGCAAACGAGAGAGAGAGAAGTAAGAGATCACTAGTGAAGTGGGGTGAGAATATGAAGTGATCTTTTGCTGTGTTAATTTCAAAAAATGCAGGAATTGGGTGAAATTCCCAGTCTGATATTGGTAGGTGAGAAATCGATTTAAGTTTTAAGAGGTGTTCTCACAAAGGTGAAACTTCCAATCTTGAGGATAAGTACAGTCTCTGAGGAGATGCTATGCAAAGAAAAAAGTCCAGGAGAAGCAACCTTAGAGAGTTGCATGCCTCTGCCACCACTTTTGCCATTAGTTAAATTTACACTGGCCACATACTGGGCAAATAACCTATGCTAAGAACATGCTGCAAATCAACTTTTCTTCTCCCTAATTTCATTAACTGATATGTGAGCTGAAACTGGAAAGAGTCATTGGAATAATAAAGGCTTTTCCAATGGTGAAAGACCTGGAAATCCAGGATCCCTATTTGGAAACCAAACCTAGTTAAAACATAAGGATGCAGTTGTTAAGTAAGTTTGGGTTCTCTTAAAGAATGCAAATGCTTCTCTTAAAAACAGCTTTGAAGTTGCTGGCAAGCCTGTCTTTATTTGGTGTCATAAATTTATCCAGTTATTTTTAAAGGAATGACTCAAATTTAGGTCATACCGTTTTTTCCACTTTAAATCAAAGTAGCATCATACCTTTTTCTTTCCTAGACTTTTTCTCCTTCCCTTTTCTGTGAAAGGATTTCATTTTGAAGATGGTGTCTGAGAGGTTTGCTGAAAGTAGAATGTGACTGTCTTCAGCAGGGAGCTCCAGCTGTGTGGGGCTCAGCATGAATGGTATTAATGAATGGAGAAGCAGCGCAAGTTCAGTTTCCTTCTACAACGTAAAATCTGGACTGTCTGAATTAGGTTTTTAAAGAAAAATCCAAACACGAGCTAAGTGCATGTCATTTCACTGCTATCTTGTCTCCTACAGTGGTTAGCACTAGATTTAATCCCACCATTTAAAGGAAGTGGACCTGCAGTGGAATACATGTTTTCTCTTCCCTCCACTAAGCATTTACGATAAGTCTTCACTGTAAGACTTATCAAAACCGTGCATGGGAGTGAGAGGGGAAATAACACTTGAAATCTCTACATTTTTTCTAGCATTCTAGCATTTGTTCTTCCTATGTTAGCCCCTGAGTTTTTAGGGAAATATGTTGAAAGTATTTCTCATGTATTGCTGAATCCTCCAGTAAGCTTAAAACAAAGTCCCTTCCTTCTTCATGAAGTCTTAAATGTAGCATCAGATCAGAGGACATCCCCATTTGAAGTGGTCTGGTTAAATATCACTCTCATTCAATGTTTTAAGTTTCTCTTACCTTAAAGAAGATTGAGCTGAAAAAGCACATCTGAGTTGGTGTTAGGAAAAGAGCAGTCAGAGGGATCACTATTGTTGCAGTTTCTGTATGTAGACTATTTTTAAAGATTTGATTTACCATTCAAACACATGTTTCTTTTAATCTTTTTTTTGTCCTAACTTCCCTTTCTTTCTCAAACTTGAAGGATCTCAAACTTGAACCACTGGAAGAAGAAGTTATTGAAGGGAATACTAAATCTGTAAGTACATTTTTAAATCAATTTTGAAAACATAGTTTCTTCAAAATTACTATTTCAGTGAAATTTTGAAAAAGTAAGTAATAATGCACATTGCCTTTTATGTGACTAAGTATTTTCTAAATTGTAATTTGTGGAAACCTGTTTCTTGGGGTTTTTGTTTTTGTTTAAAGATTTATTTATTTATGCATACAAGAGCTGGGGTACAGGCCAGAGGTGGGGAGGGTGAGAGGATTCACCAGAGACAGAGTGGGGAGCAGAACAGGCAGACTGACTGAAATACACTGCTGAGAGGAGCAGTGGGCAAGTCAGGAGAGGTCTGCTGTGCCATGTGGGTATCTCCCTGCCCAGGAACTCATGCTGCCGTGGCTGCGAACAGCTTCATAGGTTGCATCGTAACCCCTTGAGCCACCAGGGAGGCCCTCTCGGGGTTTTTGTGAGAGCACCTGGCATGTAATGCTTGCAAGTGAAAATTTGATGCAGGTATAAATCAGTGAGGAAATTGAATGAATGATTATGACAAGCAGAGAGAGGACCCATTGAAACTGTCATAGACATTTTACAAACCCTATTAGGCTGTGAGCTCTGGCTGGGTTGAATCCTGGCCCCATCATCACTTGTCTTTCTATCACTTTGCCCGGTACCGGGCACATTGTGGATGCTCAGAAGTCATTTTTCAAAGGAAAGAATGATTACTAGGAAAAGTAAATGTTTCCCTAGGGAAAAGATGTCCATTCAAGGTAACAATTTATAGAGATTGAAAAAATTAACAAAATTCATCTCAATAGGTAACTGAGTGCAACAAATAGAAATTTAGTGAATAAATTCATCGAAAAGCAACAGGTATCATGCTTTATTATTTTGAAGAAAACATTTATAGTACATATGATTTGGGGAGACTGGATGTGTGTATTCGCATGTAGAATTTTGTATTCGTAGAAATTTGCATTTTAAAATTTTGGTCGTCTACAGAAAATCACTTTTTTCCTTATACCATAAATGTGTTGAATAGTATCAGGTTTGTAGGATCAATCACATTTCCATGAAACAGAGAGAAAATACCTTTATCTCTGTGCCGTGTACTTATCCACAGGCCCTGTTTACCTGAGAGAAGGGGAGACTCACCTTTGTGTCAGCTGCTGCCCAAATCATAGTGCAAAGGACATCTTCAGAGAAGATGATTTGGGGGTTCTCAGAAGGGTTTAATAATTAATCATTATTAGAATCCGATAGACACACAGTCCCTGGATATAAGCTATATTTCACCGGCATACAGTGTTTTGATTTCTCCAAAGATAGTGACCTGTGTGCATTCATCAGGCACCCAGAAATTTAAAGCTGTAGGTTTTGTTGAGAAAGTGGGAGTCAAGGACTGGAGATGAAAGTTCAGTAGTCAATATGTTACTAAAAGCAGGAAAGGAGATTGCTTAACTGTTTTGAAGCATGTGTGAAGGCAAAAAAAAAATATGTTCTTTGGGAATGTAAATACAGTAATGAATGTAAATACAGTTTAAACTGTTTGTTTTTCCAGAAATTCCAGTAAGATACTTGTCATTAAAAGTTAAGACTTTTCATTAGTGGTAGCACAGGCATCATTATCAATTCCTACAAAACCTACAATTTTTCACTGTATCTTACAGAAGCATTCATATTTGTATCCTACTGTGTATTCAGTATTTTATCCTCATTACCGAAACCAGTTGACTACAGTTATTTTTCCTTATCCATTAGTGAACGTACATGGACACTGAAAAACAAATTCCACATCAGAAAGCAAATTTTTTAATAAATTATTTTGTTTTATATAGTTCTTATATCATTTTTCATTTTTGCATAATGTATGCATTTTCATTTTGGTTATATTCCCCATACAATTCCCACCCCCTTTTTCTGACCCTTATCCCTCCTTCTCCCCCCGCCCCCAACTGTAGTGTGTCTCTGGTCTATAGTTGCTTGTTGATTTTGATTTTTATTTTATTGCAATTAGTCTTTTCCTGGTCTTTTATTTAGGTTTGCTAAATTCCTGCTTTGAGTGAGACCATGTGCTATTTTTCTTTTTCTTTCTGGCTTATTTTGCTGAGCATGATCCCTTCCAGCTCCATCCATGTTGCTGCAAATTGCATGTGTTTGTCTTTTTTGATTGCTGAGTAATATTCCATTGTGTATATGTCCCATAGCTTCTCAATCCAGTCATCTATTTTTGGGCATTTGGGTTGTTTCCAAAGCTTAGCTATTGTAAACAGTGCTGCTATAAACATAGGGGTGCAGGTGCCCTTTGGAATTACTGCTTCTGTGTCATTCGGGTAAATACCTGGGAGTGGAGTTGCTGGATCATATGGAAGCTCTATCTTTAGTAGGTTAAGAAATCTCCACACAGCTTTCCATAGTGGTTGGACCATTTTGCACTCCCACCAGCAGTGCAGGAGAGTTCCTTTTTCTCCACATCCTCGCCAACATTTGTTGTTGCTAGTTTTTTTAAATATGTGCCATTCTCACTGGTGTAAGATGGTATCCCATGGTAGTTTTGATTTGCATTTCCCTGATTGCAAGTGATGTTGAACATTTTTTCATATGCCTGTTAACCATTTGCATTTCCTCTTTGGAGAGTTTCTTTTTAGCTCTTCTGCCCATTTTTTGACTGGATTTTTTTTTTTTTTTTTTGAGTCTCATCAGCTCTTTGTAGACAAAAAAAAGAAAGCAAATATTTTTTTATATACTCTCCTTTTATATACTCTCCTTTTCAAAAGCTCATCTTTACTGAGCATTTGCCAAGTATTGTGCCAAATACACACATACGTAACTCACTTCATCCTCACAATAGCAGGATGAGGTGGTACTGTCATGAGCCCTATTTTACAGATGAAGACATTGAAATGGAAAAGTGGAAATACCATAGCTGAACCCCAGTTCTACACTAGACCTCCACTTGTCACCACATGTAACATTCCAACACTAGTGGCTGGTGCACAGCTGGGTCCTGAAGTAGAGTTTTTCTTTCCTGTTAAGGTTGTGCACTAAGAGATAACGCATGAGCTTTCCTACAGTAGACCAGAGCAGATGAGCTGATCAGTCTATTTAAGCACATAGCAGAGGTCCTGCACCCTGGCAGCTGACATATCTTGTTTTCTGGGACATGAGCCATTATATAATGGTGAGCCTAGAGTGTAATTTCTTTTTTTAAATCTATTTTTTTCTCACCTGAAGCAAGAAGAGTAACCTTTATTGAGTAACTATCATGGGGGAGATTTTTGCATACACTGTGCCACCTAATCCCCAAAACTCTGACTTTAGAACCGCTATTTTAATTTTATGTATCAGAAACCTAAGAAGAGAAATACTAAGTAATTTTTTCAGGCCATATAGCTGGTGAAAGTGAAGCCAATTCTTTTAAGTTTATATACTTTGCTCTTAAAGGAGAAAAAAGGACAGGGAGGATAACATGCGGGGCTAGATAAAGAGCACAGTGCTCTGGATTTTCAGCACCACATCAAATCCTTTCCTGGAATGAATAGAATGTGAATGATATAGATTAAAGGAATATTTGAGAATAGTCAGTAGCAAAAGTGAAAGAATCTTTTACCTGTTTGTTCCAAAAATAACTTGCTCACCAACTAAGTGCCAGGTCCAGCGGTCTGGCCATCAAGTGGTAAATTACGTTACAGGCTAGAAAATAGACTAGATGCAAATATAGGCAATTAAACAGGTTCTACAATAAAAAGTGATGAGGATTATTATAGAAAAGTATACATTTGCACAGCAACATAATACAACGTAATTTAGGAGGCCAGGAAACACTTTGAAAACAATGTAATACTGTTTTTTAAATGTTTATGTGTATTTTAAAACATTGAATTGTTCTAACACTATATCAAAGAAAGAGTAAGGTACAACACAGATATAAAAAGAAGCACAGCATTTACTGGTTCATTGCAATGATGAATCCATGCTAGGAAGGTCTGTGTCAGTGAAGGAAATTCCATGATTAGCCCTCAATCTCCATAGAAGGAACCATGTTGTTCATTGTTTTGTTTTGTTTTTCTTTAATTTCTTCTTGGTCCATTATCTTCCATGACCTCTTAAGAAACAGCCCAGTAGAGGGCCTCCCTGGTGGCACAGGAAGTCTCAGGTCTATCAAGCTATCACCAAGCACTGAGGCCTGAGTTCGATTCCCTGCCATGGAGATAACCCACATGGTGCAGCAGACCTCTTCTGTCTCACCCGCTGCTCCCCTCAGCAGTGTATTGCAGTAGATCAATCTGTATTGCAGTAGATCAATCTCTGGTGAATCCTCTCACCTCCCACACCTCTGGCCTACACCCCAGTTCTTATATGCATATATAAAATTTTTAATTAAAAAATGAAACAGCCCATTAGGGAGTATTGCCCTGCATGGGGCTCTGCAATTTTCACGACCTGCTTCCTGCTCACATAAATTTGGGGGTACAAATAATCTTTTAAAGTCTCAACAATCAAAGGATTTTAAGACTAAAATCGTATTTTTTTGGTAATACAGTTCTCTCAAAAATTTAGTCACTTCTGATCAACTTACATATAATCAGTTTCATGTGCTAGTTAACCATACCTAAAGTTATACCTTAGGTATCCCTATTTATTTACATAACTGTATGAAGACAGGAATTCTCTCTTGATTATCATTATATACCCAGAATCCAACACCTAACAGTTTACCTCCCCAAAGTACAGGGACAATTATTGAGTATATAAGGTGCCTAACATAATGCATATAATTGGTGTTCAAAACCAATAACTATTAACGTAAGGTGAGAAACCCATTAGAACAGAAGACAATAAACCAAGCAAGGGCTTCCTTCTAGACCTCCCTGTATATAGTTGAGGGATATTGCACAGGTTAATTTTTATCATATTCTATATTGTCCTGACATAGTTGCTATGCACTTTTATGATCTCCTTACTCTTTTGTTTTCCACTTTTTGATTCATTTCCAACCCCTGATGAGGAAAGGCTTAATGTTTAGATGAAAATATTGTGAGAAGGCCATAGGCAGATGTTTAGGGACTATAACTGCTCAATAATAGTAATAGGAATTGTTAAAAGGAATAGTTAGCATCCAACCCACTATGATCCACTGTTTCATGTCATGAGGTTCCTTCTAATGTCATGAGATTTTGATGGGAGTCTAATGTAGGTGGTTAATATGTCTAAGAACTCTCTGGTGGTTCATGAACCTTTGGAAATGCATCAGTGTTTTGCAATTTGGTTGTTGGTAATGATTCCCACAATGTTTACTATTATGAACTATCCAAGAAGAAGCTGGGGCTCCACACTGTGTACAGTAGGACTTCTTTTTAAAATGTGGTAACTCTAAGTCATTGATCCCAAACCTGGCATCACATTAATCACTTGGGGAAGTTTTTAAAATACCGGTGCCTAGGCCCCCAAATCCCAGAATTTTTACATAAAAGCAACTTTAAATTCACCTGTGATTCTAAGTATGAACCACTGCTTTTACAAGAAAAGCAAAGGAGAATGCAAACAGCTGGGACTACAGCAAACTAAAAAGCTTTTGTACAGGAGACAGCAACCAAAATAAAGAGACATCCTACTGAATGGGAGAAAATATTTGTACACCATACATCTACAAACACCTATAAAGAGCTTATACAACTCAACAAGACAAACAACCAAAGACGAGATTTAAAAAAAAAAAAACACTTCTCCAAAGAATAAATGCAAATAGGAAATGCAAGTCAAAATCACAATGAGAAAATCACCTCACACCTGTGAGAATAGCTCATATTAAAAAAAATAAAAACAGAACAAATGCTACTGAGGATGTGATGAAAAAGAAACACGTCTGGAGGGAATGCAAAGTGGTCCAACTAGTGTGGAAAGCTGTGTGGAGGTTCCTCAGAACACTAAAAATGGAGTTACCATATGACCCAGTAATTCCACTCCTAGGAATCTACCCATAGGACACAAAAACATTGCTTCAAAAAAGAACTTGCACCCCTGTTTATTGCAGCACCATTTACAATAGCCAAGATATGGAAACAACCCAAATGCCCCAAAACAGACAAATGAATCAAAACAAATGAATCAAGAAAACATATATATACACAATGGAATACTACTCAGTCATCAAAAAACAAACTCATGTCATTTGTGGCAACATGGATGGAGCTGGAAGGTATTATGCTAAGCAAAATAAGCCAGAAGGAAAAAGATAAAATATGAGGTGAATTTCACTTATATGCAGAATTTCAAGAAACCAAACAAAGTGTCAAGAAAAGAAAAAAAAGACAAAACTTGCAGGCTAACCACAGATCTGAGGCATACAGAGGGGTGGGGAAGGCAGGGGGCTGATAGAGGGGAAGGAAGAGCACAAGGGACTGTGATGGTTCACAGGTGCCATGGTGATGGGGGAACTGCAGGGACTACACTGGAGGGGAGAAATCAAATACTATCCAAAAAATGAACAAAGATGTAATAAAGTAAATTACTCAAAAAATAAGAAAAACATTGAAAAGAGCCAATGCTTTTAAAAGGGAAGCATGTAGTGAAGGAAACTTTCTTTAGTGTCTGTCTCTAGAGGCAACAGAAATATCCTCCATGTATTACAGCTTTTATACAGAGATATTATCATGGCCCTCCTTGACATGTTTTTAAATGAGAACTGTTTGTGGAATGGGATGGGTAGTGGGGGGTGGCTTACGCCAGGCTCCATGACAGCCAAGACAGTAACACTTGCCCTGCCCTCAGCACATCATGCTCGTGCAGCGTCAGATGTCTGTGATAGAAGAGGACTTGGAAGAATTCCAGCTTGCTCTGAAACACTATGTGGAGAGCGCTTCCTCCCAAAGTGGATGCTTGCGGTAAGTGCTCCCACGAATGTGCCCTAGCGAGGGTGGGGCTAGACATTGGAGAATCCTCCTATGAAGTTAGGCTAATTATTTCATCCCTCTGGGTGATACATGCTGCAGAGTTTAACTGAGTGTTTCTCTTTTGTCCTAGGACTCTGTCCATATTTGATTAGTAGGGGCACCAAGGGAAATAAAATGGAGAGCACAATATGAATGAGAAGAGGCTTTTCATACAGGCTGAAATTCCCCCTTTTGTGTCCAGGCAGACCTGCTCTCTGATTTAATACCATCCTGAGTAGTGGAGGCCCCAACTCCAGTGCATTTAGTTCTAACTGCTCCCTTGACAGTATGCCCTATGGCCCAATAACCATTTCTGCTGTTAGGAAATTTTACAGTCTCTGAAGTCGTGATTGCCGACCTTGGTCTTTGGAGGGGGAAAAAAATCTCTTTCTATGGCCACCCCAGGCTTCTATTACCTCAGGCTTCTATTACCTCAGGCTACTAAAATTTATGAACTACTCATCTTCAGTTTGTCTACTCCAAGAGGACCAATGAGCAGCTGCTACAATAATATTCTGGTGACAATTACAGAATTCCCTTCATCAAAACTTGTAGTAATCCTCCAGTGAGTTTCTTGTCAAATGCCAGATGTTTATACTGATCCTGTGTTCATCCTACCAGCAGACCCCAGGAACCACAGCTCTTTTTGTCCTCCCTCACCCAAGCACCCTGCTTCAGCACAGCCATTCCTGCACTGCACCTTGGTTTTCCCAGGACTGTGATCCCAGCTGATCTCAACTACCCCTTGCTCTGCTCAAACCAAATCCTTCTCACCCCCAAACTCACCTGCTTCTGGACAACAGCCACAACCATGTCACCCATATCTAGGCAGATTCTTTAAACTGCACTTCATAATGTTCAAATATTTTCTGGGCATGTGTTCTAGTGCATGTGTACACATGTGCAAACATGGAAAAACACACTCGATGTCTGAGTGCTTGCTTTGGTGTTTCTCCCAGTAACTATTGCAGTCATACTCCAGCAGAATACTTCCCCACCTAAGAAACCTGTCTCTGGAATCAAACATATTGTACTAATTTTGTGCTTTGGGTGAAGACCTTTATAGGCTCTATACCCCAGAGTGCCCTTATCAAGAATCTCATAATGGTTCTGAGGATTAACTATGAGCTCTGCACAGTGCCTCCCATCCACAAGACCCTGGAAGTGTGACCTGGGTTTACTGTTGCCTCCTTGTTGACTGGTAGAGAACCTGCTAGCATCATCCGTGTCAGGAGCTCACCATATTCCCAGCAGTACCTCTGTAATAGGGACCAGGAAACACCATTGTTTCCTTCTTGTTCTGCTTCACAACAGGCTCAGAAGGGCACAAATCAAAACCTCATTTCAGTCCTTTAGGTCAGTGACTTGAGAGATTTGCTGAGATTATTTTTTAAAAGTCTACTCATTTAAAAACAGAATTGAATGTTTGGAAAATGCAAAAATAATCTATTTTGTGTTTTTCAGATATTAAATGTATGATACATATATGAACACACACACATCCATCCATCCCCAGTGTAGAAACTAGAAAGTATGGCTCAGTAAACAATTCTTTGGCTGATATGGTTAGGCAGGGGTTAACCATAAAATGTAAGATACCTCCAATTACAACAAAGGTTTATTTCTTAAATTTAGACCATTAAATTAGTATTATTGCCTCCTCGGTATATGACAAAAGACTCAAAGAGGTTTGGGGACTGACAGAGTTTTTGTCTTAGTAGCCAGCTAAATTTTCAAATGTAGAACTCGAGCAGATTAATTATATCACCCATGTCTGTCTGTCTGTTTCTCTCTCTCTCTCTCTCTCTCTCTCACACACACACACACATACACACTGATGCTCTTTAACTTATTTCTGAATGATAGAAGTGAATTCCTCTGTTTAGAATGAAGAAGTACCAACTTAATATATGTGGTATACACAGTGTGTTCTCAGAAGCATACTTGACACCAGAAGAAAGTGAGAATAGTTTCTGCTTTCAAGGGCATTAGAATCCAGTTGGGAAATCAGGTTACTCTTCATATTCTTGGCCTACAATCCAGATAGTAAGCAAAATAATATGATTTCTGCAGTCACTCTCAGCTCGAGGTTCTGGTATCTGTATATGTTCTAAACTCCATGTCAGGGACCTGGGGAACTTGAATGTGGAATTACAAGAATCCGCTCTGAGATTTCTACCATGACCAAAGAAACATCCACAGAACTATCATCAATACAAGTGAATAGGTTTGTTTTTTCCCTCATTTTATTTTCCTTCCTTTTACTTCATCCATGCTTCTTAGTTTTAATAACATTTAAGGCTTAACTTTCATAAATACTTGTTCAGTGAAAGTGCTAATTTATTTTTAGTTATTGAGCTATTTCTCTTTTCTCTCTCTCTCTCTCTCTCTCTCTCTCTCTCTCTCTCTCTCTCTCTCTCTCTCTCTCTCTCTCTCTCTCTCTCTCTCTCTGTCACCAGGCTAAGCATTCTACACGCACCACTTTTTCTTCATAGTACTATTATCATTTTACAGATAAGAAAACTAGAATAATGAGGCAAGGTAACAAAGCTAGTATGCAGTACATGAAGGTCACCTTTATCACACTGATACCTTTAATTTTTTAAAATCTTGAAACTTACTCTAACATTTTATGAATTTCTTATGGTCTTTTGACCAGTCTGGAAAATAGAAAGTTCAGCTGTCAGGAATAAGTAAAATAATAAAAATGAATGTTTAGAGTAGGTAGTTTATAGATGGCCTAAAATGCTATTATAAACTTGATTCTTAAAAAAGCCATAGGTTTGTATTTGTCTATTACAATTTTACAATATATTTGGAGATTGTAAACCTGAGACTATGATGGAAGTTATGGTCCCCCTTCCTAGGAAAAGGATATTTATATTAATTTGCAGCTCTTTTTTGAGATTTCAAGGAACTGTTCCAAAAACATATTCATGAACACCTGCTAGAATAGAAAATCTCTAATTTTACTTATATTCAATTCCTTTAATTCTATTACGAACCTTTCTCTGAGAAAATCTGTTATTAGTCTAATAACAATATTGTTTACTGCATGAAGCTAGCCAGAAAAACAACTCTGAACAACAGTATTTACTGGGGAAGAGCTACAGGGCCAAAAAAAAAAAAATCATGAAATGTATCTGTGTGGATACTACCACCTGCTGGCCACCTTGAGTAAAACAGTCTACATTTAGCTTGACTATTAAAATACGTTATTCTCTTAAATGGGTATTGTTTTTCTAAGCTTTCATTTTTATTCCTAATGTGAATATATTGTCACTCATTAAAGAAGCTGGACATAAATTTTAAAAGGCATCTTTCTATTTGTACTCTCCTTTCTACCTTAAAAAAAAATCTTCATCTTTCACCTAAACAATTTCTCTACCCTTTTAACTTTTCTTTCTGCTTTATATTACTGCTCTCCATTGGATACCACACACTGCCATTAAAACCAAGCTACAATCAGGACACTCTCCCTGCTTGAAATCCTTCAATAAATCCTTAGTGCAACAGAATTAAACCCAGACTTCACGTCATCTTGCCTCTTCAACCTTTCATCTTGCCTTTCCCTCGTTCAAAACATATTTTATAGGCTTTTAGCAACTCTCAGACTAGTCAGAGACTAGTAGAAATAAATTTGCCTTCCCTGTATTGGAAAAGAAATTTAAAAAGATAATGATGATTATGGCCAGATCATGGACTTTCAAACATAGGTGGAACAGAAGAAAATTGGAGCAAAAAATACTGAGAGTCAGCAGTGCAGTGCAGTCCAGGTGACTCAAATGCCTTACAGCAGGACTCCAAACAAAATGTGTCAATCTAAGGATAGAAAGCCAAAAGTTTGACAAGGATTAGGCTATAGAGATTGACAGAACAGATCCAAAGAGCCACACTTGAAGACAAGGAAGGAGCACACCTTCACATTTTTTCTTACCCAGAGTACAACAGGTATTTGATACATCTTTCTGAATGAATAAATAAAATTTAATAAAATTTTAAATTATGTCTGTAACACACTGAGTCTTATGTTAAACTATAAAACTTAAAAAATGTCAGATATATTAATTCTTGATAAAACTGCTCAATTTTCATGGAGTCACCATAGGTGTTTCCTATATGAAAGGATGATTGTTTCATACCAGAGCTTAAGAAAATGCATTTTGCTTATCTAATTATGCTTTTTCTTTTTCACTACAGTATTTCTATACAGAAGCTTTCAAATGAATCTCGTTATA